TCCGCGATGCGTCGACCGTTACGAGTGTGGGAGGGTGTCCGCCTGCTTGTCTTCGGATTCTTTTTTTTTTGAGGCACTGACCGTAGAACAATTGTTCTACGGTAATTTTCATTAATAAAATGTATACAAATTACAAAAACAGCAAAGGACCTGTCTAATCTCAACCAATACCAGTTTTATGAAACATGAAATTTAGAAGTGTTGTTCTAACCAAGTCCTGATCCTTTGTGCTTTAGCTTGTTTGGATCTAATTTGCACAGCATTGAGCCCTTCCTGAAGATAGTAGCTCCATCCTTGGATATGTGAGGCAGCATGTCTGAAGATTTTGTCATTCCTGACTGACCAGATACCCCAACAACCCATGATAACAATCTCTAGGGCTATGCTCTGTGGCAGATGAAGGAGAGCCAGTTGAATATCATCAAGTACTGAGATGCCTCTATTCCTATTGGGGATGATCTTGTCCCAACAAAGCAAAGCAAATGATCTTGTCTTCGGATTCTTCTCCAGTCTCACTGTTTGCGTCGCTACCGTTGTGACTGCGGGGGGATTTTGAGTATATTGATTACTAGGAAAGATGAGATAGACTAGGATTCGGTCCTGCCTTGTCTTGTATTTCAAGTTGATCATTGTACTCCTGTATATATGACCACAAGGTTCAAGCAGTATAGCGAACTATTCCATCGAATATCTCTCTCCCTTCTAACAAGGACGTTTGAGGGACCAGTCGGCGCTGTCTAGGAACGTGTAGGGGGCAGATTTCCTCAATACCATTGTGCAAAGTGAAATCCACTGTAGCTCACGTGTGCGAACATGCCAGGACGTGTCAAAGTTCACCGCACACGATGCTTCGTGGAAGAGTCACAAGGCTTGACAGGGTCATGGACTTTGATTTCACTGCACACGATGCTTTTTTTTTCTACCCGCCAAAAAAAGATTTGAGGAAATTGGTGATATGGGATGATTTTTGACTCCCTCTGATGATGCAAGAGCAGCTGTGCTTTTTGAGTTTGTTGCTGGAGTTAATTGCACAGAAGTACCACAATTCGGACATCACATGCAGATTGGTACCACGATTGCTAATTTTTACATGTCAGTACCAACATTGGTCCGGGTTTTTACAAATTAGGCTAAAACGCGTATTTATACGTATTGATAGTGTATCTGACTGTTGGGGCCCGTCTGTCAGGTGCCGACGTGGCATATTTTTTTGCAAAAAACCCCCTTGCTTTATACGTAATCACATAAATACCCGTTATTTTTGCGGGAAAAATGTTAACGTGAGAGAATTTTTTTTTATTCAGACTTGTTTGAAAGTTTCCAACGAACTGGACAAATAAATAAAGCAAACGAAAAGTCGCGCGCGACAGGTTTCTAACCTGCGACCTGCAGCACGCGGGCATAGCGCGCTAGCGACCCGGCCAAGGGGCTACTCGTGTTTCTGTCCAGGCAGGACTTTATTTATAAAACAGACGAATGCTGGCCGGTGGTTGGGCCAATCAAGGCCTGTAATTGTTTTTTCGTTTCGCCTTTTACTGACGCGCGTGCTGGGCTCGTTCGCCCGCATTTCTTTTCTATTTATTTATCTTATTATGCTTTATTTTTGTTTCTGGTTTTGGCTTATTTTTAGGTTTTTTATTTTCTTCTTCTTTTATTCACTGGGTTCGTTCTTCTTCTGTTTTTAACATACTTACTAAATATTTTTTTAGATAGGCTTCAATACATGATGTTTTCAAATACATGATGAACATGTTTTCGAATTTGCATGAACATTATCTTAATGTACGCTGAGCACCTTTTCTGTGTATAGTGATCATTTTTTAATGCTTGATGAACTTTACTTTGCAAACAGTGAGCATTTTTTAATATATTGAACTTTTAGGTTGAACATTTTTTAATATATATGATGAATATTTTTGTAATTTAGGTTGCTCATTTTTTAATATATACAGTGATCATTTTTGTAATATAGGTTGAACATTTTCTTAATACATGATGAATTTTTTTGACAATGTGTATTTGAGAAAATGTTCAGCATGTTTTAAAAACTTATTGCGTAAAATCATTCTAGCATTTCGAGAAACACATCAAATTTTTTAATAAAGGTTGCACTGTTTTAGTGCACTAATATGTAATCGCAAAAAAGTATTAATATTATGATTAAAAAATAAGTGATTCAGGGCAGTGCCAACTATAATATAAAGGACGACCCGCCTCCAACGTCACACAAGCTTCGCTCTGGCCTGGTGGCTAGTGCGCTCCGCCCGCGTGCTGCAGGTCGCAGCTTCGAAACTTGGCGCGCGTGACTTTTTGTTTACTTTATTTATTTGTCCAGTTCGTTGGAAATTTTCAAACAAGTCCGAACAAATAAAAAATTCTCTCACGTTAACATTTTTTCCGTAAAAATAACGGGTATTAATGTGATTATGTATAAAGCAAGGGGGTTTTCTGCAAAAAATATGCCACGTCGGCACCTGACAGACGGGCCCCAATAGTCAGATACACTGTCAATACGTATAAATACGCGTTTTAGCCTAATTTGCAAAAATTCGAACCAATGTTGGTACTGACATGTAAAAATTAGCAATCGTGGTACCAATCTGCATGTGATGTCCGAATTGTGGTACTTCTGTGCAATTAACTCTTGTTGCTGTGGTATACCTGTGATGCTACCTTTGATGCCCTTGGCATGTCTAATTGAATGAGCTGACTGCTAATTTTTTGCCAAAGGAGGAAGGGAGTAACTGAGCAGGATTCAAGACAAAGGGATTTGTGGTGAGGGTGTTGGCGGGGGGTGGGTGACATGAGGGGATTCACCCAATCCCTGGAGGAGTTGGTTCCCCGTGTGGATGGAACTCGGCCTGAAAGCCAAAAACCCTTCTTCCCCCACCCTCCTGCCCCGAGCCCCTGAAAGAGCTCGGCCAAGCCAGAACACCAGCCGAGAGAAACCCTGTCCACCGTACCTCCATTATTCTCGCTTCTCAGGGTAAAGAAATACCACCAGCTAGTTTGGGCGAGCAGGGGAATCAAGCACAATGCAGTTCGCCGGAGCCATCCTGCTCCTCCTCCTGCTCGTCCCCTGCGCCGAGGGACAACCGCCCGAGGCGACGCCGGCGGGGGGCTTGGCGATCGAGCAGATCCTGTCCAAGAACGGGTGCGGCGCCTTCGCCGGCCTCGTCGCCGCCACGGCCGGCGTGGGCCAGGCGCTCCCGTTCTTGGACAGGATCTGCTCGATCGCCAAGCCCCCCGCCGGCGTCGCCTCGGGCGGTTGTCCCTCGGCGCAGGGGACGAGCAGGAGGAGGAGCAGGATGGCTCCGGCGAACTGCATTGTGCTTGATTCCCCTGCTCGCCCAAACTAGCTGGTGGTATTTCTTTACCCTGAGAAGCGAGAATAATGGAGGTACGGTGGACAGGGTTTCTCTCGGCTGGTGTTCTGGCTTGGCCGAGCTCTTTCAGGGGCTCGGGGCAGGAGGGTGGGGGAAGAAGGGTTTTTGGCTTTCAGGCCGAGTTCCATCCACACGGGGAACCAACTCCTCCAGGGATTGGGTGAATCCCCTCATGTCACCCACCCCCCGCCAACACCCTCACCACAAATCCCTTTGTCTTGAATCCTGCTCAGTTACTCCCTTCCTCCTTTGGCAAAAAATTAGCAGTCAGCTCATTCATGGGCCAGGCGCTCCGCGAGCAGGGCGACGCGGGGCTCACGTGTTCTGCCCGGACGACGGCGCGGTCGCGGCGTTCGCCCCGCGCTTCAGCAGCCTCACCGCCGCCGGCCAGGCGGCGCTCCTTCTCCACCACGGGCTGGCGGCGCGCTCCGCCGAGTTGGAGCGCTTGCTGACCCACGGCCACAGGCATATTGAGGTGCGGACGCTCGACGGCGGCCGCTGGGGGTACGGCGTGGTCACCATCTGGTACTACGGAGGCGCCATGGAGCTCTCCTCGTCGCCGCCGTCGCTCACGACGCCGGTCGAGGCCAGGGTCACCAGCACGGTCGTCTACAACGACCGGCTCACCGTCTACCTCATCAACGCCGTCCTGGTTCCGGGACCGCCGGCGCTGTTCGACTACTCGGACACCTTGGTGACCATTTGCGTCATGCTCGGGCTCTGGATGTTGTGAGTACTACTACTATTTCCTCGAGGTGTTTGCCTCTTTTTTTACTCAGCAGATCTTAGAGAATGGACGATGCTGGTGCTTGAATTGCTTCTAGCTTTCCAAATCTTAACACGTGAATAACTGTATCCATGTCTCGTCTGCAGAGTCTTGGGGTCGTGTGGTGCCATTTGTTCGTGAATGAGAAGATCGTGCCAGAGTTGCGCCATAGGTGATCTCCGTCCTTGATGCACACGCTGGTGCTCAGCGCAGTGGGCAAAGGGCACTGTTGGTGGAACTTTTCCTATGTATATTAGTGTTTAGTTACTTTTGGATCTAGACTCCATGTCATGTAAGAAAATGTTGTTGGCCATGAATTCTTCTGTACCTAACTTAGTACTCTGATCCATTATTTGTCCCTCAATTAGTACAATTTTGTACTGTAGTCGTACTAAGTGAGCAACAAATAACATTGATCCAAGGGAGTAAGTGGCAAAAACATTATATTGCTAGCTCAAGGATAAAACAGGAAACCTGCCCACACCTGCAAGCTTAAACAACTGCCATACATTAGACTATTGATTGATCGAGGAGGATAACAGAGGTACACATGACAGATTAGGCAACCTTTGGTACGTCAACGTTTTTACAGATCACAGAATCGCCACTGCAGTGTTTGCACCAGGAAACAGGTGCGGATCAGCGAACTCGGGAACTCAGCACAGCAGTTGACAAACTAAAGCACACACTAACAAAGCACTGAAATGCCTTGTCACCCCACACAGAATTGACTGTATAAACACCGCAACCTGAACGAACCAGTCCAGCTACAAGACTTGCTCACTAACCCTGTCTGTTATTTCCACCGTCTTGCGCTCCCGAGAGCTCAGCTGTTCTCAATGGAGGGCTCAGCTGTTCTCAACGGAGGAATCGGCATCGCCCTTGTCCTCGAGCTTCTCCATCGCTGAAGCAAGATAACTGTCGCAGAAGCCAGGGGGCTCGTGGATGAAGCAAGAGATCACGTCTCGCAGTGTCACAACACCAACCACCTCAAAGTCACCATCCACCACGTATATCCGGTGGGTTATCCTCGATCCGATGCTGTCGATCACGCTGCCCATAGAGGCATCAGGTGCACAGGTGAGCGGCGGCTTCACCAGTCCGTTGCCCCCTGAATCAGGAAGAGTGGAACCTAGAGCATTCATGAACTCCAAGACGGTAAGATGCCTGTGTGGATCAAACATATCATTAGAGACATTTCACAAAAACACAGAGGGAATAAATCATTTGGTTGGGTCGCTTCGTACCTGAAATCAGAAAATAAGTCAGGCCTAAGCAACAGGAAGCGAATGTCCCTTATGCTCACACTACCGACCAGTTTCCTTTTGGGACCTTCTACTACAGGTACGCCGCCAATTTTGTTATCCTTCATGCACTTGAAAGCTTCTAAGATTAGATCATCACTGTTAACCGTAATAACCTGAAGAAAACACAATATCGTAAATTTCTCATTAAACAGTTCTTATAACACAGTCAAAGCCTATTCAAAGGTCCTGCTTCAGGTGTTGCAGCCTGCAGATCTAAATTAATCGGGATAGCACAGAGGATTAGACCTTACACTACCAAGACAAGAGTTTAACTAGAGAGGCAGCAAAGTGAGACAAATAACCTCATCAAGAGACATGAATGGAAGCCCCATGTCTGAAAGAGGGAGTGCCGAAATATAGTCGAACCAATCCCTTCCTTTACACTGCTGAAGTCCTTTAACAACACCAGTCTGAGTAATGAAGTTCTTAATAACTGGCTTATCAGGTTCAATCACAGGGACATTCCTCAACCTGTACTTGGAGAGCAACAGTAGTACAGCAAGCATTGAACTGTCAAGCGTAACAGGCACAAAAGGAGACCACGGGTAGGACTCAACAATTGACCGAACCTACAACAAAAGGAGAAAGGATACAAAGTTAACAGGGTCTACAAGAGAAGATATTCATACAATGCGAAATTAAAGGGTCGGAACAGATAACCAAATAAACCTTAGCAACAAATTTTAGTGTAGGTTCAGTCAAAAAAAACAAATTTTAGTGCAGCTGAAATACCACAAAGACAAGCAAGACTGTATGAATTATGTCAGGTTGGTTGGTATAACCATCACGTACAAAACGAGAGAAGACAATTAACAGAAAAACAACCGTGAAAATGGCGGCAGCCCACCAATTCAAACAATCCCACGGTGGTTAAAAAACCACATTTAAATAATTCACATAAATTAGTTCATATACTTATATGAACTTATATGCACAAATATATCATTTAGCTCTCAACCACAAAGAATCCTAACCAGATTACTTTCAGGGCCATAGCACACAGATCTGTGGAATGTGAGGAGGCCCCCAATCACAAATTGACACTAGCAAAAAAAAGTGCTTTCTCAACCAGGCTTGAAATTAGAAACCGGACTAAGGTTCGGGTCTTTTTTGTCAGAATGCCTGTCCCATCTGGTTTTGAGTACTGGGTTCTAACTCAAGTGTAGCTGAGCTTTGTTTTAGCAAAATAAGAAAACATTAAGTCGATTACGTTGCCCCTGGTGCATGGATTCAATGCTTGATCAACATAACAAAACAAAACAAAAAAAGCTTCAACATAGAGCAATTGCCATACTGTAGTCGATTTGAAAGGTTCTTGCTGAAGCAGAACTTTGTAGAAATCTTCCCCTAAATGATCAGCAGCAGTTACTCCATCCTTTGCAACACCCTTTTCAGCAGTTAACCCGCCAGCAACAGCGGCCCCTACTGCAGCAGCAGTCAATCCAGCGACAGCTGCCGGGCCAGTTGCACCTAATGCTGCCACACCCACTGCACCAACAGCCCCCATTCCAACTCCTGCAGCAGTTGCTGATCCAGCTGACAGAGCTACGGCTGCAAGATCAGCATTATCTAGTACCCAAAGGATGATGGCTGAGTACTCAATGATGCCAAGATACCTCCCTTGCCAATCAGCCGGAGCACCAGGTTCAGGGTTAAGCACTGGCGCTGCCCTTATGTTGTGCTCAGATAAAATTCTAACAGCATCAAGAACAGAAGTTTCTCCAGGAATTTCAGTCACTACAGTACAGACAGAACATCAGTCGTTACAAACACCGAAACATATATGTGACAAAAAAAATATAAGGCAGAAAGAATATACAGATTGAGTGGTTTCTTTTGCAGAAGTGCATACAGCATACCCCGGCCACTAGGAACATCAGGAAACGACGCGACTGGGATCTGAGCAAAGGCAGCGGTCAGAGACTCTTGCAAAGCTAGCGGGAGCTTCTTCTTGGACTGGATAGTGTCAAAGTAGGCATCACAGCTAGGGAATTTCGCGTTTTCCTCAGGTCGAGCCATTTCTACAGCAAATTGATGAACGATTTATCAAACAGGAAAAATCTGCCCACAAATCATCACCAAATAAGGAAGTGCATTACACACAGTGGGCGCAGAGCATCTAGAAGTAGTTCTCTGACAAATAATTATACTCGAACATAAGTATATTAGTAGCAATTCTTAGCTGCAATAACTAGGAGCACACAGTTTGGGCTTGTGAATCAAAAGAAACTCTTACAGTTGGGCGTTTCGTCGGGCGAAACCCCTTAATTTGCATTACAACAAACAGCTCATAAGGAAGGCATATGCATATACTAGTTGCAAGTAGCTTCAACTAATCAGCCGAGCAAAATCAGAGCCTCTCGGTCTCGGGGAGAAGCAAGGCAGCAGACGGAAATCCACTAAATTTGCAACCTACCGCATCAAAATCAAAACTCACACAGCAGCATGGATGGACGAACGAATTTAACGAAAAAGAGCAGGGAGTTTATTTATCACCTTGGCTGCGACTTGCGGGAGTGGTCGGCAGGAGAAGCAGGCAGCCTCCAGGTGCAGGGCTGCGGCGGGGGAGGAAGCGGTAGAGGCGGAATGGATCGGAGGCGCTGGTTTCGGAGGATCTATGGTCTGCTTTTCTTGGCTCCCAATCCAGGGGGCGGGCGGTGGAGGAGTCGAACACGGCGAGAGATGGTGCGGTGCTCGCTTGCCAAGGGCACACTGGCACGTGTACACGGCACGGGGCCACGTCGCCACACCCCACCCCCCACCCCAGGGGAAAGTAGGTACTCCCGTTCTATGTGTACTCCCGGTGCTTCAAATTCAAAAAATACATTTAGAAATGTGAATGTTCATAAGAAATGGGACTACAACTCTCAAATCAGATCCAAACTCGAAATGCGTATTGAGAAACAAAAGGGTGAAATCCAGATGTGAATAGGGTCAACGTTGCTTTTGTCTTTTTTTTTTCTTACACTATTCATCCTAGATTTTATATTCAGTTTTGCTAGAACTCATTTAGATGAGATATAATTTGGTCTCATTCATCTTTTATAGCCATTGGATGTGATGCTACAAGATGTGTGTATGCTGACGTGGATTGTATTTGTTCTTATTTTCAAAGTGAATGAGACCAAATTATATTTCATCTAGATGAGTTCTAGGTACTCCCTTTTATATTTTTGTTTCTCAATATGTGTTTCGAGTCTGGACCTGGAATTTTTAGGGGTTGTAGTCACATTCCTTGTGAACATTCATATTTTTTCAGAATTTTTTGTTACATTTAAGGAAAAAAATTTGAATTTGGAGCACGGGAGTACTCCAAGGATGAGAGTACCTGATACTTTCCCCACCCCGAGAACGTATCATGTGCATCCGTTGAACTGGCGCACCAGGTGCTCCAGAGGAATCTAAGCCATTAGATGTAGAAGTAAGGGGCAGGGTATCAACGAACCTGCAGGTACATTTTCAAAACAACCCCGACCCCGCAAAATCGGGGGAATCCACTTCGCAACATAGTTCATCTCTATCCTTTCGCCATCTCCTGTACCAAGCTGAGCTAGGGTTCCATAATTTGGGGAATCATCCATCTTCGTCTCCCTCCTCTCTCGCGCGCGTCCGGCGTCTCTCCACTCTAGCCGGAATCCTCATCTTCTACCACTGACTTTCCCATCACAATTCATCGATCAAGCTTCTTCTCCCCCCCTCCCCCACGTCGAGCTATCTCTCTCGTCGCGAACTTGTTCGGGTCAGCGTCAACGGGCGAGGGGGAGATGCTGGAGTCCGAGCATCCGCGGTGCCCAGAGATCAGGAGGAGGAAGAGGAAGGGTGAAAGGACATGCGTTGCCCCCCATGTTTGGTTTTGGTAATTGATGACAATCTCTATGGACTAATGGTTGCCTTGAGTTATATTCGTAGGTTTTGTCCATAGGCTTTTCTTGAAGTCCATTTGTTGGTTTCAAGGAGTTTATGTGTTGGCCAGGGTGCTTTTTAAGGAATTATCCAAAGATTGGTCCTGTCAGAGTTGAGCTTATTGTAAGCATGTCTTGAAGAAGAAGAAGATTGTGTGATCATTCATGTTTACCTTCAAGACATCATCCAAATGAGAGTTGGAAAGATTCAAGGTTGATCAAGACTAAGAACAGAGAGTGATTCAAGTTGATCAACACACAAAACGTAGAAGATGTACCGAGTGGGATCATGTGATTCCACGGTATGGTAAGTATTGTCCATTACGCTTTGTGCACTAACCCATGGTCTACATGAGAGTTCTATGTGGGGTTAGGTATGGTTCCAGGGGTTTGCACCAACCGGAAGATCTCATACAACCCATGGAGGATGACATCAAGTGGTGATCGTCATCAAGATTCCCGTGTGCAAGTTCAAGTGGAGCATCACTAAGATATCAAGTGCTTGAAGCTTGCCATCCATTGTGTTGACAATGGACTTGTGAAGATGTGCCAAAGAGTGGCTTACCCATAGTGGAGTATGGGGGAGCAATCAACTAGTCTTCATCGAGCTAACGCAATCAAGAAAGGTGGTCCAATTTTAGGGAGTCAAGATCGTCATCATCTAGCTCAAGTGGACTATGTGCAAGGCAAAGTTTTTCCCTTGATAGGTTTTCTATTTTACCGGTCTCATGGTGGTAGTTGGGAGATCGGGTTATAGGATCGATTGACGTACTATCAAGGGGGGCTCTCAAGTTACTATCTTGATCGTATCATTCGTAAAGAGATCAAATCATTGCATCCTTGCATCATCTTTCTTGGTTCTTGTTTAGTGTTTCTCTTTGTGAGTTTTAGAGCTTATGGTCATCTTCATGACAAGCTCGAGTTCATCGAAAACAGAGTTCACATGCATCTTGTATGATGTTTTCGATGTTGAAGGTTATGCCGGTTCTTCTTCGTTGGAGGTTTCACTCTTCTATTTCTTAGGCATAGCTCCCCTGCCTCTTCTTACTATAACTAGTCCCTGTTGGATGCTACTCGTCGTCATCTATCCAACAAGTTTGAGTTTGCTCAATTCGGAGTTCATGTGCAGAAGTTGTGGCAATTTAGGCTTTATTTGCATCCTCTGTTTTCTCTGTTGTGTTCCTGAAGGTCTCAAGAGGTAGTACTGCTCTCTAGAGCAGTAGTACCGCGGCCCTGTGCCGCGCGTAGTACCACTGCTTTTGGGGATGCATTTTTTCGTGTCGGGTTTCGCGGTAGTAGAGCGGTAGTAGAGCAGTAGTACCTCTTATAAGCGATAAGCGGTACTACCTCTACCCATGAGCGGTACTACCTCTCCGGGAGGTACTACCTCTGTCCAGAGCGGTACTACCTCTCTGGCAGAACTACAACTCATGTTTTTCTCTCTTGTTGGGCTGTTTTGACCGTGCTAAGCGGTAGTACCGCTCCTTCGAGCAGTAGAACCGCTTTGTGCACGACCTGAGTGCATAACGGTTGGATTCGGGGGTGCCTATAGAAGGGGGTCTTCTTCCCCAATGAATCTTATCTCTTTAGCTCATGTTCTTCCCCCATTGTTGACCTTCT